TAATCAGTCATCTCTTCTTTCAAAGTTTGCCAGTGATGGGTCACTGTACGTCGCCTGTTCAGTTCACGTGCAGGCAGCAAAGTGTGTAGTTGTGTTGCCTGTGATAAACCCCAAGACAAAAAGAGATAATCAAAAGAGAGTTGGCCAAAAAAAAAAAAAAAAAAAAAAATGCAGCAAAGAAATGAAAAGTGGTCACAAAATAAGTGAAATTCAAATCAAATGTAAGTGGAATTACAGAAGAAATAGCAGACCATGGGAATGTTTGGTCTCTGTGTGTGCTGCCAAGTGAATTTGGTGAAAGCGAACTTAACATCAGTGAGAAAAGTTGTTGTAATGAATGGATGCAGTGTCCTGGAGAAAGTGATGATGTCAAGAAACTTCACATTAAAGGAACTCTTGAGATTTCATGACATCGAAAGCACAAAGGATAAAATGTTGGAAGCTGATCCAAACTTAGAAGGGAGCATGACAAGTTGTTAAAACATAGAAAATTCACATTATAGGAACTTGGAGCTATACGAAATCGAAAGCACAAATGATAAAATGTTGGAAGCTGATCCAAACTTAGAAGGGAGCATGACAAGTTGTTAAAACATAGAAAAGGTGCTTGCTCCATGTCATAAGGTATAGACTTAAGAAGGCAAGCACTGTCCAAATGCCTCTTGATGAGTTTTTCATGAAGACGTCAAACTCTTTAATTCCCAGTGTTGCTAATGTTTTAAATTACAGTGTACAAAAATATTAATTTTACTGTGTTGTTCATTTCCTTAGACATTTATAACTGACAGCAACAGAGTTTTTAACATTGTTGACCTAATAAGAAACTTAGGCCAAATACATACAGCAAGGATTTACTGAGCCAATATGACGATTGCAACCAAGGAGACATTAAATACTATTTAAAAACTATCATAGGTTAAAGGACCGAGTCACACTCTTTATACTAAACCCATTAGCCCTAGTTTATACATGTTGCATATTTGTCTGCATATGTGTGTGTATGTGTGTGTGTGTGTGTGTGTGTGTGTGTGTGTGTGTGTGTATATATATATACATGCAAATGTTTCTAGAGTGTTGTTGGAAAGTCTTTTACGAGGATACTTCAAAAAAGTTTGTGGAAAAATAGAATTAAGAGATAATATGAGTCTTTTCATGAACTTTTTGAAGTACCCTCGTATATATATCATTTAAACTCACACTTAGACTTGGAGGCTCTGGGAAATTTGGGACTATTTGTAGACCCTTGTTCATTAGTGATGCTGGTTTGATCAGATATGTGGCTCAATTCTGAGAGTTGCTGTGGAGGCTGCCCAGACTGTGACCACTGGATATTCTTGGGCATAATTCAAAGAGAAATTGGTAAGTTTATTTTTAGTAAGAATGTTTTAAATAAAAGGAATTTCCAATTTAGTTCCATATCTTAAGTTTCTAAATGAGGAAAAAAAAGGTGTGTGTGGTCTTAGAGCCACATTTTACCATTTTTATCATTTTAAATGATTTTTTATCATTGTGATTTATAAGAAGAATTTAATAGTATTCAAAATGAAAGTTGCCATTTGAATGCCACAACTTTCTTGATCAGTTGATGGAAAATTTTATTTAACACTGACAATTTTACTCTTCCCTTTTCAACTCTAATGATAGTTTTGTGTACTTTTGAATCCATGAGTGAATGTTGTTAATTTGGAAAGAGCAGTCAATATTTGTAGTATTTTCCCATGAAATCTGTTATTGCAGTCTTTTTAGTTTTTGGGTTTTTTTCACATCTGTAAAATAACTTCTTATAGGTGTTAATTATTCTTTTCAAACATTTTCATCTTATATTTCTCTAGGCACATTTGTATCCATTAGCATTAATGATTACTACAGGAACACTAGCAAAGGGCCAGTCCACGTTACTCTGCAATTATATGCTGTAAAATGGGACATAAGTTGTTTTCTTCACCTGTTTGAGTTTTACCACTAGATGGTGCTGTAGGGCTAGGGAGAGTGCCAAATTCTGCGTCAACCAGATGCTTTTGTTATGTTGAAATCTGAAAATGTTTCATCTAAGAAGTACTTACTTTTAGAAGTCACTTAGAGATAGCCAAAGATTGTTTCATGTATCAGGCTGAGCACAATGTCATTTTACATAGTACGTGCCTAGTAAGTATTTATTGTTTTGTTAGTTGGTTTCTTGTAGTGTTTAATCTAGGAGAAATCTCTATTTATAGGATGCAAGTGATCCCCAAACTTCATTTTGGCCTTGATTTTTTTTAACTTTGTTTTTCCTAAGTGTTTAATCTAGGAGAAATCTCTATTTACAGGATGCAAGTGATCCCCAAACTTCATTTTGGCCTTGATTTTTTTTAACTTTGTTTTTCCTAGTATATCACATTTCCCCATGGCAGTCATAAAAATTCTTAATGTTTAAGCTGTACTCTGTGTGCACATGCGTTACTTATTTTTCTAGACACCATTACCTTGGAGATTTATTTGAGAAACAAAATACTGGCATACTGTTTGGAAATGAGAATACAGTATTTATGAAGTGGTTTAATGAATAAAACAGAATCAGTAATACATGCATTGAAAGATTTTCTACGAGATCATTTTCTTTGAACATCAATTCTATGAGGAATAGAAAAAATTTTTTGTTTGGAGGTAGAATTCTCAGAATGTGTTTCTCTTCTGCATGAAAGGAATAATAAATATGCTACTTATTGCTGCCTGAGAGGATCCTGAAATATTGAATGTAATCCAAAAGCTCTAAGTAGGAAATTTTAGATTTCAGATTATTTCCAAATTATCAGTTAATTTTAAAAAGCAAATAGAATTCTTATTTTCTTCAATATTAATGGAGTATTATCTGTTAATTTCTAGCACTGTATTTATATTATTTCTATTGATGTTATTTTACTCATGTAAATGATTCAGTCTTGGTTGGCCTGGATAAATAATTTTTGTGACCAGTGTGGGAATTGGTATAAAATATGAGCAGTGTGATTTTGATGGTTTCACAAGACTTTTTAAAAAATGGGGATAATAATGTTCTCTATTTTTTTAACTAAGCCCATGTTTTAAGATGTCCCATTGATTTAATAATGTCAGGCAAATAAAACCACTATCACATTAAATGTGCCCAATAACTAAACAGCAATCCAATTTTAGAAACATTAAAATGGGATTTAAAATAGTTTCAAGACCTCTTAGAATTAAGGACTGAATCAAAGGATTAAGTGGGGTCTGGGGTAGAGAAGTATTTGGTAAACTCCAGAGTTCTGAATGAAGCCAGTTGATGCTACGGAAGAGATTAGTTTCTCATTTTTGGTTCTAAAATAGCCATACATTTAACAGCTTATATAAACCTTGAAGTGGTAATACCACTTTTGTTGTTTTTGACTGGGAGCTATGTTGGATAGAAACAGGATAGCAAGGATAGGACATGTTGTATTGGAGGTATTTTCCCAGCTGCGATATTGCGCTCTCTCTCTCTCTCTCTCTCTCTCTTTTAAATGTAGGTAGCTGTTAACTTATCCTGGGCATTCTGGGGAAGGCAGAGAAAGGAATTAGCCTTTCAAACTGCCTTTTCTCATTAGCTGATCTAAAAATGGCTATCTTAATCTAGCTAGTGTATAAATGACCAAGTGAGGTGTATATACATTTGTGTACTTGAGTGCCATTGCATTTATGGAATTGGAATCTTGATGGAGAGATGGACATTTTGATAGAAGTCCTCAAATAATTCTTTTAACCCTTTTGTCACCAATCCCTCTGCCATACCTAGCTCACTAGACACTTTGTAGTCCCTGAGTCCTATTGCTGTACCTGACAATGGTAGTTGTTATTGGGCTAAGTTAGTCTTCCGCCCTCATTTTTGCTCATTTTAGCTTAGAGTTTTGCAGAGTTTCACAAGAATCTAGAAGGAGTATTGCATTGTGTGATACATGTGTGTGTTTTGTCTCTGTTAACCACAGTCAGCAAACATGCCTTAACTCCTCCTCTGTCAGTGCTTCTCCAACCTTATGGGACAGTGTCAGAAACAAATAAGGCACTTAATGCTCACACAGCTGATGGCTGTGACAAAGAAGGAGGCTCAAAGGTTTACACTGAAGGAGATAACTCTTAAGATTTAAAAGGTTACTGTTGTACTTTTTGATTTGACTTATTGAACTCAGTCCTTCAACTTATGGTTATATTTTTAAATTAATGATATCCTATTAAAGTTGGAGTATAGTTTAAAGGGAAGACTATTTTACTAATAGTTTTTCTAAAATAGAGGAACTGTTAAATGGCTGTTTGAACTAAGTTTACTCGATTATTAACTAGGCATCCATATTTCTTCTCTACCCTTAGCACATAAGGATTTAAATACATCATAGGTGTATATAATAATGGCAAATGTAATTTCAGAGTATATGTCTCAAATCTACTTTAATATTCAATCACATTTTTCCCCCTCTGAAGTAGCCTATTTATAATCAGTTAGTTGAATTCATTCTTTTCAATGTTTGTTTAGAAAAATACAGCTGAACCTCTCCTCCCTCTTCCCTGCCCAACCCCACACAGACAAGTTTTTCTTATGTGCATGAGACATTGATAAACCCAGCAAGGTGGTGATGGCCAAAGGTCTTAGATAATTCATAGATGGAATGACAGAAGACTTAGTAATCAATATTTGCTCAGTTATATCCACATTAAATGAGCTGTGTTGAAAATAGCGTTTTCTTGTCAAATCCTGAACGTCAAGGCTAAACAATTCTCTTCTCCATACTTTCTGTTTTCTGAAAAAGCGGCTTCAGAGCAGCATCTCCTGGAGGACAGCGACAATGCATCGATGTGGCCGTGGCTCTTTCTGCCCCTTCAGTCTGCTCCTTAAACTTTGAGCGTGAACCCCACTGCTGCTTATGTCTTGTTTATCTCACTTTCTGCTATGCCTTAATGCTTTTCTTCATTTCAAATTATGCCCCAATTTCATACCAGTTTATCTTTTTTAAATCTGTATTTTGATGGGCTCAAGCAAGGATAATGAAAAGAAATATTTATTTACACTTTGTACATATTGATGCTTACAAACAAGAGAAGGCTTAGTGGCCTCTAATCTCTACACGTCAGTATAATCATAATATATGCGGACTTCGGATCTTCTGACACTTTGCAGTGATCTGATGCTTTCGCTCCTGGTTCTGATATTTGATTTCTTGAACAGCCTTCTTGAAAATGACCTACACATGAAAAAGTAAATTATTGGATCCAGGCATACATTGCATGCAGACAAGAAAAGTGTCATTTCTTTGCAGTAGTACAGGATTTTGTGTGCAGATTGATCTAAAAGCCTGTCTAAGTGACTAAAAGTAAAAGGAATTCTGCACAAGTGATATGGTAGAAAGCAGGTAAAAAACACAGCCACAACCACCCTGATGCTCTGGTTGTGTTTTCGCTTTCGGCTTGACTGACTTATGAATTGCCTGCTGGATTTGTGGATGTACCTGGATATGGCTATGTAACACCCAATCAGAATCACCAGCACAGCCACAAACAGGCAGCTGTTAATGTAGATGACTGCCTCATGCCATTTGATTCCCAAGGGACTTTTAAGCTTCATGCAGTCTTGGATATTTTCCTTAGTTGGTTGGCCATTTGTTAGGATGATGTTTGGCAAAGACAGAACAGTCATGATCACCCAAACACAAACAGATAAAACCTTCGTAAAGGTTATGCTGTACATGCGAGAGTCCCCAAATGGCTTCACCACCTTCAGATAGCGATCAATGCTTATCAGCCCGAGAAACACGATGGAAGTATACATGTTTGCATAAAAAAGAACGGAAGTGTATCTGCAGAGGATAAAGTTGAAGTACCAAGGTCCAAATCCTGCATCATGGACTATTCGAAATGGAAATGTCATTGTCATTATGAGGTCAGCCACCACTATGTTTTTCAGATAAAATATGAAGCTGGTTTTATTCCTGATATGGAAGAAGATCCACACTGCTAGACCATTCAGCAAGATGCTTGCCACAAAGATAATGAAGTAAAGCACAGGCAAGACGATAGTGTCAAATTCGTTGTTAAGGGTGGCGTTCTTTCCCGTTCCATCACTCGTGTTACTTGGAGTGTGACCGCCTTGTCCATGCAGCTCGTTATCTGTAGGAGAAGTGGGAAGACGTCACTTCAGTGGGTGGCACGCATGCCCTACAGCCACTAGGCCCCCTGACAGGCTGAACTCTTGTTATGTTGGTGAGTTTAAAGATGTCATCTGTGATCGAAAGAATCACATTGAGGGCTTTGTTAATGTTTTGAGTGGTCAAAGAATCAGTGACCTTCCCCCTCAACACTCCTTACCCACACCAAAGTCCCTTGAGTAAAAGGTCATATTTCTGATTCCTTATACCAACCTTTTGAAACTAGAGATAGCAGTGTAAATTATCCTGGCTTTTAATTCAGCGTCTGATATCATTACAGATAGAATCAACAACATCAGGGGCAGAAAAATAAAATTTCCTATAGTAAGAAAATAAAACAGCTACTACATGGTTATTGTTTCAGTGTAGTCTTTGGTGCACTCTTTGAGTATATCTTTTATCCCCCTCAGTTTTAAGCTGTTTAATCATCAAGAGTCGGAAATAAGAAAATAAAACGGCTACTACATGGTTATTGTTTCAGTGTAGTCTTTGGTGTACTCTTTGAGTATATCTTTTATCCCCCTCAGTTTTAAGCTGTTTAATCATCAAGAGTCGGAAACTAGCAGGTCATTTTGGATTTTTTGCCTATTACTTTCTTATAGTACTTAAGAACCTTTAGAAATGATTGTTAGGAATAGAAATAAAGTTTCTTGGCATTTTTTTTTAAGTAGAAAGAAAACATACTGTCTTCTGAAGTTACAAGAAAAGTCTTGGGTTAAAGTAGACCTGACTCACTTATTCTCTTAAGTCCCTTTTCATCTTAGTAGAACATAAGTTGTTGGTAGGTATGAAGATTACTGCTGGTTATTATAAATATTTACACACCATCTTGTGCATTTTTAATAAAATGTATCTGTATAGTTGAATATCTACAAATATGTGTTTCTCTGTAGTCCAATGAAAAATGCTGATTTTGTTTTCTCATTCTTAAAGAAGACAACTTATTAATAATAATTGTAGGCTGGGACATTCATTTACAAGGCTAGATCATACCTATTACATGTATTATATAAATTTCTTTAAACGTTTTGCTTTTTTGGAATTTTTAGTTTATGATATTTAAAGACTTATATACCATACCACTCCATCATGTTATCAGTGAAATGGTTTACAAGTGTTTGGTTTATATGGCAGCCATGAAAGTGGGCCTCTGAGATCTCTGTGCTCCAGATCCGTCACCACCTTCTTGCTGTTGCCACACTTCCCAGGGACTGCTCCCAGCTCGTAGCTGAGCACCGCAGGGATAGTAAGCCCAGCCTGCTCCTGCAAGAGGAGGGCTTCCTCTGATGAGTGACTTTGGCTAGAGGCTGCTCACCCTGGTCAAAACTTTCTTCAAAAGGCACTGTAGTCTGACTTTTCCCACTCAACCTCCTCCCTACCTCCCCCCCTTCCCCTCTCCTACATGGTGGTTTGAGGGCTGTCCCAGCCTCCCACTTCCCTCCCAATTCTCCCCTGCATCAATTTCTGCCAGTGAATCTCTTGGCCATCCAGTCACGTTCTCTTATCTGCTTTCTTGGAGAACTTGAACTAATACAGTTCACAAATGGACTTTTTGGCTATAAGGTTAGAAGGAAGGTCATTCCTGAAATTTTACTTTTCACTAATCAATAATACTTACTATAGTAACAGTTTGTTTTGGAATGATTTTGTTTTAGAAGTAACAGCATGAATTTAGCCCTCATTTCCCTACAGACAGGCAGTTTAGTATATATTTTGGTTCCCTTCTTTGAAGAGAAACGGGGAAGATAGTTTTGATGATTATAATCCGAAAACAGGTTTTTAAATTGCTGCCTGAAATTTAAGTGCAGGCTCTTCCAGAGTTACCTTGTCCTCTTTCTAATTCTTTCCCTTTTATTTCTTGCTATGAGTGTCTTTAAAAACTGGTTTTCCTGGCCTAAATATCCTTACACAGGCTACTAATTTATACCTGGACTAGCCTGTTATGAAATCCACAGTATTATTAAGCTTTACAACTTTAAAATGCCTGATTCAGCTGCCATCTGTATTACTGCTGCCAGTTTCAAATATTGTCTTGAACAGTATCACTCAAGCCTCTTTTGACTTAATGAAGTGTTGCAGTCTTGCCTGTATCTGCACCAGAAGATCCAAATCAGCATCAGTGCCATTAGAAGCTTCTTAAGATGCGTGTTTTTTACCGAGTTAAGATATCGGCTTGAATTAATTTTTCCAATTAAAGTATTATCAGTCACTTTCATTTAACCCAGGATAGAACCCTTAGGGAAGTGGAGAGAGGACAGGTTAGTTTTAATCAGGATAAAGGGTCCCGCTGAGGCACACAGCCTGAAAAGGAGCCGTTACATCATCTCCTGAAATGATGGCTATCCCTTGCAACGCTTATGAGTTGCTTTTCAAAGCCCTTGTAAATTCAGATAGAATAATTCACTGGCTACAGCACACCAGGCATGGAGTGTTTGAGCCCTCAGTGCTGGCTCTCTGCATGGAATAATTTTGCTGGGTCTTCTGAGAGTTAAGTACTTTGCAGACATTTTTTAAAATTTTTTTTATTTTATTCCTTTTTGTCTTTTTTACTGACCGGTAACGGAATCGCAACCCCCAGTGTCGCGCCCGTACCGGGGACCGGCAACGGGATCGCAACCCTCAGTGTTGCGCCTGCACCACTCTCAGCCAGTGAGCGGGAACCGGTCTCCACATGGGATCTGAACCCTCGGTGGGAGCGCTGCCACACTCCCAAGCTGCGCACTCTCCAGTGCGCCACCGGGCCGGCCCCTTTGCAGACATTATTTTGAGCATAGTATCTCGGACTTAGTAGGTATTCTCTCTGTAACATAGGTGCTGATTATAATTTGTCATCAATAGAGGCACATTGTGAATGATAAAAAGAGAGATGAAGAATCTTGGCACTTTTTGCCTTTGGTGAAGCTGCATCATTGCTCACTGGGGCGTGCCACTCTTTGGCACAAAATGTGAAAGTATCGACATAGGCCACTGCTCTACCTGCCAGGTGGGAATGAAATAATAAAGTCATGCAAATTATAGGGTGTCACTGCCATGGCACAACTGCCCTTGTATGATCATCTTCTAAATAGTTACCCAGTAGTGTAGGTAGATGTTGTCTTTGGTCTCGGGAACTTCAGTGAACCTTAGTTTAGGCTATTTAATGTGGGAAGTGGTATGTACTTAGCTTGGATTTAAAAATCTTAAGTGTTAATTTAACCCTACTCATCATTTTAGAGATGGTCTGTAAAGGAAACGAAGTTTAAATGAAATAATAGCAAGTTAAATTTATCTCAGTGATGCCTTCCTGCATGTTTGCTGTTTTATACTCAATGAAAGGCAAGGCTAAATGCTGGTTTATTTTGTTCATTGGTTCTGTGACCATTGAAACACAAAAATTGTCACGCAGTGAAAATAACAGTCATTGATCAAATGAGTTTATCTCTGCATCTTTTCCTATGGCTTACTTGGTAGTTTTGCAAGTGTCAAGTTGAGCCCCATTCTTTAGTGGTGATGCGCTGTAAGCAAGAACGTGTGTCAGGAAACACTCGGGGATGGTTGAGGCATGAGTTCAGCATAGGCTATTCCTGGTTTGATTTCTAGGGGAGAAAAGTGGAAAAAAAAATTAACTAAGGAATTCGAATATACCGTATTTCAATTTTTTCAGTTAAAAAAAATTTTCTTTGTTATAAAGAAAACACATACTCTTTGGATATGAACACTTGTACCACACAAGAGTTGTCTATTTTTGTGTCTTTTTTCAGCGTGCCATAAAGTATGTCTATTATGTGTTTTTTGGCTAAATATCTTAACTTTTCTGAGCTTCAGATTCTTCACAACACTTTGATAAAGATTTACTGAGATCATATGTGTATGTGACGTTGGATAATGTAAAACATTATTTCCCCCACCCCTTTTTCTGCAGCCTGGTCTGTTCTGTTTTCTGTCTTCTCTGAGGTGTTGACCAAAGAGAGAAGAAACCCTGGGAACCGTTTTGGAAAGTACAGCTACAGTAAAATATACTTACGGAATAGTTTACTATAGGGGAAGTCATACTGTTTCTCATGAAATGAAACCATGAGGGACTTTCATGTTACCTCATTGATGGTGTTCATATACCACAGAGCTGTTAAGAGACCCCACGTAACCTCATCCCTTCCAAGTAGAAAGCAAAAGTCTGGCTGGTGTAAGCAATTACTTTTGTCCTTTTACATTTGCAAGAGTCAGCAGGACAAGGACACTTTGAAAGCAAAAGTATGTTTAAGAGTTTTGCAATAAGTGGAGAGACACTTATTCTTTCTTTTTTTGTTACTGTTTCCCTTTCTCTTGTCCACCAGTATCACATGCAGGTAAGGTACTTTGGATTTGGTAGTAGGTTGAAAAAAATGGTTTGCCAATTTTCAGTGATTCCCTTCCTGCCCGCCCCAAATCAGCTCTTTTGAGAGTTTAGACCCTCCCATCCATATCTCATCTTGATTTGCTACACTATGTGGTCCGTAACAGACATTCAGAAGATATAAAAGATAATTTTGGGCTAATGGAACATAGATGATGATTGGGGCTCCTAGAGTTTCTCCTTTGTTGAGACCAGCATTGCATTATTTTTAATGTAAGGCAAGGAGATGAAACCCTACTTTCTTTTTACCAAAGTTTACTGGGGAGAATGATCGAGGCATTAATTTTTTAAACCTTGTAATAATTTTTTAAACTTCATAATAATGATCTAAAAAGCTTGAATCCAACTTCTCATGGAAACATTTTAAGGAATTTACCTGAAAAACACATCTTTAATTTTGTGTTTCTCTGTTCCCAAGTTATGCAGTTTTCTTCTCCCTGACTTCACTCATAGTTCACTTGTTGACAGCAGCAGTGAGAGAGAAAGACAGCAGGCAGTTCACCATTGAGGAGGACACAGAAAAGAGACTGGGAGAAAATACTTGCATATCACATTTCTGATAAAAGATTTATATTCAGAATATGCAAAGAACTTGTACAACTTCCTCATGACAAAACAACACAGTTGAAATATCGTCAAAAGATGTCTAGATGTTTCACGAAGAGCACATGAAAAGACACTCAACGTCATTAATCAGTAGTGAAATTCAAACTAAAACCACAATGTAATACCATTTCAAATCTACCAGAGTGCTATAAATAAAATAATAGACAATAACAGATGTTGCCAGGGATGTGGAGAGACAGGAACTCTTATGCATTGCTGGTGAGAATTTAAAATGGTACTGCCACTCTGGAAGCAATTTGGCAGTTTCTTTAAAGTTAAAACTAAATCTCTCATACGACCTAGCAATTACATTCCTAGGTATCTACCCAAGAGAAATGAAAAATATGCCCATGCAAAGACTTGTATGAAGGTGTTTATAGTAGCATTTTTTATTATAGTTAAAAGCAGAATGAACCCAATTTCTGACTGGAGAGAGGATAGACAAAACACGGCTTAGTTATACAATGGAAAGAAATGAGATATAGCTACCATCTGGATGAGCCTCAAAAACACCTTGCAGGGGAAAGAAGCTGGACACAAAAGACCACATACCATTTAGACGAAAATGTCCAGAAAAGTTATATCTATAGAGGCATAAAGTAGATTAGTGTTTGCTGGGGTTGGGGGCTGGAGTGCACGTTAACTATAAAGCGTTCATGAGGAATTTTATTGGAGTGATGAAAACTGGATTATGGCAATGGTTGCACAAATCTCTAAATTTACTAAAAATCATTGAATTATAGACTTAAAATGGATGAAAATTATAGTATGTGAATTATATCACAAAATTAAAAAGGAAAAAAGAGTACACAGAAAAGGAATAAAAACAGGCTCACTGTGTAAGAATGGATGAGTTTTCAAGACCAAGGAAAAAGTACATAAAAAGCACACTCCCTGTCCTCTGTTTAAGACAGTAGGGAAATGTAAGGGAGAGAGCCTCCCCCTGACGCAAGTGAGGGTGCTGCTTAGTGAACTGTATGATGCGTTTACGAGTCCTTCCTTTGGCATTGGGTTCATAGATCAGACACACTGGATATGGCTGGCAATTTGTACTTTTTGAGGATTCATATTCCCGTTTTCTTTATAATTCCTGTTGGTAGTTGGAGTTTTGGTTAGTTCAGACATGACATTTGGATTTTCTGGGATCAAATTTGTTACACAGGTTTGGGAAATGATGTTTTATTCTCTTCTACTTGCTTCTGAGAGTTTCCTCTCTCTCCATTTTCTTTACTACTGTCTCTGAATGAAGTCCGCCAAGTTTAAGTCACAGCCCCTCATTCTTCTCTTTCTGTTTTTCAATAGAATTCATGTCTATGATGGCTCCATAATTTCTCTTTTTTACCCCCAAACTCCAAACTTACATTGGGGTGTGTCATATGTCTGCATTTTCAAGTTCAGCTCATCTAAACATTAACTGTTTTGCCCTTTCTTCAAAAGAAACCACTTTTCCTTTAGTCTGTAAGTTCAGAACCTCAGTACTCCATTTGGTACCTCTCTCTTCCTTGCCCCTCATCTACTCAGTTACTTATTTCCATGTCATTCTTTCTGTTTCTTCTGTAATACCTTACGTTTGCTTCTGTCTCTGCTTGCTCCTGCCTGGTCATCCAGATCGAGGCCCTCCTCGTCTCATGGTGGGTCACTGTCCTGACCTCCCTTCTGGTTTTTCTGCTTCTTGCGTCATCCCTCTCAAGTCTCTCTGCTTCTTGTTGTCAGATTCATCTTTCTAAATCGCCCACATAGTCATGCCTTTCTTTTGCTCCCTAACCCTGCATTATTGTAGGGTAGGGCAATTCTTGAATTATAATTACTAATCAAAGATAAGGAGTTATTAGTTAATTAATTTTTATATTTTATTTATTTATTTATTTTTGTTTGTTTTTGGCGGCTGGCCACTATAGAGACCCAAACCCTTGACCTTGGTGTTACAACACTGCACTCTAACCAACTGAGCTAACTGGCCAGCCAGGAGTTATTTTTGTAGTGTTGAAGATTATGGAGTGTTGAAGATTATGAAGCCAAAAACATGCTGCATTCTGGAAATTAATTAAAAGTTGACAGTAAACTTTGGGGATATCTGCTTGCCCCATAATCTTTGGAATCATGGATACGATAATATCTACTTTATAGCATCATTATGAGATTAACTTGAATATACATTTATAAATTAAGTGCTTTATAAATGTTAGTTTGTGCTTCTGTTATTCCTGTTCATCCTTGCCTAAATGAAATTCAAGATCACTTTTCTTTTATTGGGAATCTCTACTTTAACCGAACTGTTGACTCTCAGGGCCATGCCTTATGGTTAACCAACCACTGGCTTTTCTTCATACCCATTCCTGTTCCTTGCATGACCTTCTCCCCACCCCAACCCCCACCCCCTCTTTCCTACCGTGGAAACCTCTACCTCTTCTTCAGTGCCAACCATACCTGGTCTCATTTGTAAGGTCACTTATTGAGAGTCTGTTCATGCTTTATGCTCTGGGTTTGTAAAGATGAGGGTAGTATGTTTCAGCCCTCAAAGTCTAGTTGAGAATCCAGAAGTAAACAGACTATTTCAATATAGAGTGGAAATACAGAGGGAAGCAGAGGTTGGGGAGGGTCCATGGCTGGTGTGAGGTCTGGGTTGTGGTGGGTTTGCCTGAGGTTCAGTGGGAAAGAGCACATGGAATTGCTGCATGTGGCTGAAGATAAGGTGTAATAATCTACTCGGGGGTGATGGTGGCATTGAGGGAGAGATGTGACAGATTTGAGGCATATTAAGGAATTAGTGGCTGAGTGACATTGATGAAAAGGGAGGAGGAGTGTTGTAGACCTTCCAGGCAGTGGTGTTGGTTTCTTTTACTGATGTGGGGCCCATGAGAAGACATGTTGGGATGGGTGGAGTTCAGCTTTGGATTTGTTGTGTTCACTGTGCCTTATCGTATGCAGGTGGAGATACCCACTAGATGATTGAAGAGACAGGTCTGGAGCCCAGGGAAGTGCTCCCGGCTGGTGATGTAAATTGAAGGCCAATGGAAAGTAGGTGATAGAAGAAGCTGTGGAAATGGATGAGGTTGCTCAGAAGGAAACTACACAGTGGAGTGAGGATAGCAGAGGGCTGAGCGAGATGTTTTCAAGGGGCAATTTTAGGGAAAGAGAAGTACCCATAGGAGTGGACAGAGAGTTGGGAGGACTACCAGGAAAGAGTAATGTCATGTGAGTGAGAAGAGAGTCTAAGAAATGAGGACTTGTGCCTAGTTTTATCCCGTGGGGAGTCAGTGACATAGGACAGCAAAGTGCCGTGGGATGGGATTTGGTCATAGAGAGGTCACTGGGCTGTACTGTGTGTGTGTGTGTGTGGTGGGGAGGGCAGGGTGGACGTTGGGGGCAGAAGCAGGAGCCTGATGCTGGAGTGCTGGGTAGTGCTTGTGAAGTGAGGAGAGGAGGCAGCGATGTCAGACAGCACTTCCCAAGGATAACGTGCCTGTGACGGGAAGGAGACAGAGAGGGTGGGAGGTAGAGGTAGAGGTGGGATTGTTGGAAGATTTTGTTAAGTGTATCAGCTAATGCCTGGCATTTTAAAATTGTATTTTTCTAGTGTGGGTAAAATACCAAAAC